CAAATTTTCAGCCAATATGCGATGTACAGCACTTTTTGAAATGTTTACCATGTCTGCTAGCTCACGCACTTTCAATCGACGGTCACCCAATACCATTTTGTGGATTTTCTTCACCATTTCTGGAATGGCCACCTCACTTGGTCGACCACTGCGATGTTCGTCTTCGCAGCTCATACGGCCTCGTTTAAACTCTGCCACCCAATATTTTACTGTTGTAAACGAAGGAGCAGACTCCTCCAGAGTAGAATCTAGCTCGGCTTTGATATTGGTTGGGCTAAGACCTTTCAAATGAAAGTATTGTATCACATAACGATAACCAATTTTTTCCATCTTTGCAAATTCACCGAGATCATCCACTATTGATGGCTGCCAAACAAATACTGAACAACGTAGCGTCTTCAAACTTCATAGTTAAGCTTTAGAAAGTTGGTGCTTTCTCCTCTCAGTGATTTTTTTTATACAACAACCGCCATCTGTACGTCAGGTCGGGTACTTCTGGGACCACCCTCGTATATTCGAACGCACTTCTGTGATCCGAATGGCTGTTACGTAGTGCGTCTTCCAATACGTGACGAGATGCCGGACCTGTTATCAACTCGACGTTAGGCCTCCTGGATGATAGACGCCATGGAGCGATGCTTCCAGCAAGATAGGAACTTTAGAGAACACTACGAAGCTTTCTCGCGTTCGAACACATGTCCCCGGCTGGGTCTCCTCCGACGGACGATGGAATCGACGCCTATACTATTTGCCGTACTACGGTGTCTTAAAGGAACGCGGCGAAGATTCGCGTGATATTCTATTACCCAATGCGTACCTCTATAGCAACATCCTTGAACGACAATCTTCTGATAGAGCCAAACCTGTTGCCAGCCCTCGAAGATGTCGTGACACGCTGGCGACGTCATCGTTTCGTCATAGCCGCCGACATTGAAAAAATGTACCGGTTAATCCTGATACACCGAGACCTCCAAAGGATCCTGTGAAAGACAAACGTCACTGTAAGAG